AGTCAGACTTTTTAAAAATGTCGTACTTTTTTTAGTAGTTAAAGTCGGGTTTAGTCAGACTTCATCTAAAGTATAGAATCAGTAGTAAAAGTAAATATTTAATCAGACTTTGTACAATTTTGTTATTTTTTTTTAGTGGTACAAGTTACGTTTTTGTCAGACACATATTGAATAAATTGGAAAATTAGTAGTAAAACTAAATATTTATTTAGACCTTCAAAATTTTTTTTACTTGTCTTAGTAGTATAGGTCGGTTTTAGTCATACATATCATGAAAAGTAAAGAAAGTATTAGAAATAGATATTTATTTTGATCTTCTAAATTTTTTCTACTTGTAGCAGTAGTAAGAGTTGCTTTTAGTCAGACATAAGGCCTAAAGTATAAAAACAGTAGTGAAAGCAAATGTTTTGTCAAAGTTTCTAAATTTTTGTAATGTTATCAGTGGTACAAGTAAATTTTAGTCAGGTACATAATTACTATATTAGAAAATCAGTAGTAAAACTAAATATTTAGTCAGGCGTTTTAAATTTTTTCTAATTTGTTTTAGTAGTAAAGATCGGTTATAGTCAGACATTTAATTTAAAGTATGGAAACAGTAGTAAAAGTAAATATTTAATCAGACTTTGTACAATTTTAGTGATATTTTCAGTGGTACAAGTTACGTTTTTTTCAAAAAAATATTAAAGAAATTGGAAAATTAGTAGTAAAACTAAATATTTATTCAGACCTTCAAAAATTTTTTTACTTGTCTTAGTAGTATAGGTCGGTTTTAGTCAGACATATTATGAGAAGTATAGAAATTAGTAAAAATAGATAGTATTAAAAAATCAGTAATAAAGGTCGGTTATAGTCAGACATTTTCTAAAATATGCTAACAGTAGTATAACTAAATATTTAATCAGACTTTTTATAATTTTTTAATTTTATCAGTAGTAGAAATAAATTTTAGTCAGACATATAATTATAATATCAGATAAGTAGTAAAACTAAATGTTTAGTCAGACTTTAAAAAAAATTCTACTTGTATCAGTAGTAATGGTCATTTTTAGTCAGACATAATATCGTGTTTATGTGATAAAATTCTGTTTTAGTCAGACATAATTGTTTTAATATGCAAGAAGAAAAGAAAGTGACATTTAGAATAGGCAAATTTTTTTTTTTTTTTTTGTTCGTGTTTATATACTAAATTTTTCAAAGAACACATGTAACGTTGAATATTTAAAATCAAGAATCATTTATATTCTAGAAGCGCAAGGTTAACTTAAAAGTCGTGAGAAAATTTATGATTGAACATTTCAAGTTCAAATATTTATTACTTAAAATGTAAAAGGACGACTGTTTACATTCAGTGTGGTTTTCCTCGGTTTCTTCCTTTTCACGAAAGGTTGAAGTAAATTATAGAAAAGTGCATTAAATATATATATATATAAAAGAGAGAATTTTAATGGAAAAATTAAAATATATTATTTCTCTTAGTAATAAATTTAAAATGATTTATAATAAAAAAATATTTAACTTTTCATTTAGAAAAAAGTATTAAATTAATACAGAAAATATTAAATTAAAATTTTTATATCAATTTGATATTTTTGGTATTAATTTGATACTTTTAAAATTGTAAAATAAACTTGATACGTTATTTTTCACAAAATTTAGAGAATTTTTAAACGTTTCATTGGCATTTTCTCCGATGTAGAATTTAAATTGTAACATGAAGTAAATCACAGGAATAGTGGTGTGTATTGGACATGGAAACTAATCTGGCGTTAAATCTTTAGTGACTGTAGAAAAGAAACACAAATCCCTGTCTAAATCCTGAAGTTTCGAATTAGACCACGAGGGTACATTAATCTCTCGTTCGTCGTGTGCCATTTTGACCTCATGGTCCCCCTTTTTTTCACATTTATTTTTCTCTCTCTTTTTTTTATTTCTTTATTTCCGCACATGGTTCATCTCCTCTCGTATATATATATATATATATATATAAGAACAAGGCTAATCTCAAGAAGCTTAAACCTGTGGTCCAAACCACTTTCTCCCTTGACAGCGAGACTCTCTCGATTAAATTCTTTCGATGAAAGACCCTCCTAAGGCAAAAGACCCTTTGAACCTCTTTCGAAATACGTTTGTGTATACATACAAGAAAGTAAAAAAAAAAGGGAGCACAACCCGGAGAAAAAGGACCAAACATATATATATATATATATATATATATATATATATACACAAAAGAGATGAAGAGAAAAGAAAGAGGTGGTTGAAAATCCGTTTCTTAATCCGCCAATAAAAGTAGATACCCACTTGTGGCCCGAAAAGGTAGAGTCAGTTTATTGAGGTGATATTGAGGAAGCTCAATACTTCTTTGAACTTTACCGAAGGCTTTATTGCCCTGACTTTATCGACTCGCAATAGAAGCCTTTTCTTCTTTAAAGTATCGACTCGGCAAAATAAGAAATTATGAGGGTTATGATTTTTACGGACATTCAATTCGATTTGTTTTTATTAGACTTTCATATTGTTTTTTTTTCCTGAAAAATATCAAACAAATTATTATTATTATTCTACTTTTGATTTTTACTATCTTGTTTTTTTTTTTTATATTTATTGTTTTATATCTCGTTAAAATTATCCCTAGGGTATCTTTAGGTAATATATTTTTTATTTTATATATATTTTTTTTTACTCATTTTTTAGTTTATTTTTTATTTTATTCACTTCTTTTTTTATTTCATTCGTTTTTTATTTTCTACATTTTATATTTATTAAAATTCTCATTTTCCTTGTATATTTCAATGTAAATTAACTTTGTTATTTCATTAACAATTTTTTAGTTGTAATTTGTTTTATAATAAAAATAGAATAGAAACTGAGAGTAAAATAAATATTTTTTTTTTTGGGATAATTTATTATATGAAAAAGTTAGAAAAAAATTATTATTTTTATTGTTAGTAAATGTACATTTTCGGTGTGAATTGTAACATTTAAGAGAAATTTAATATTCATCGTAATTATTTGCAGAAAATTTTACACAAAGTAGTAGCATAAACCGATAATCTTTCACAAGTCATTAAATTTCCATTAAACTGTCCAAGTTACAATCAGCTTAAACTTTTCTCTACTGTTCCACTCTAGTTCTCAATTATTGACGTTGCATATTAAAGTCAGTACCAAAATTCAAAAGATGATTCTTCTTATTCTTAGTAATTTATACTTTTTTTTTTGTCGTGAATTTATAGCGTTTTTAAAAAAAATTTTACAATTTTTTTTTTTTTTAAAGAAATTAAATATTTTAATTACACTGAAAAAAAAATTTATTTGATTAAAATTATTGGTTACTTGACTATATTATGAAAGAAATATTTATTTGTAATAAATAATTATTATTTTAGTCAGTTAAATTGTATTTGTTTCAAATAGAAAAATTGTTGGTTCAAATAAAATTTATTTTATTCAATTATTTTTTATTTGGTTACAAAAATTATTTGGATCCAAGTAAAGGTCGATTTCAGTCAGACATAATGCTTAAAGTATATAAACAGTAGTAAAAGTAAATGTTTTGTCAGACTTTCTATATATTTGTAACTTTATCATTGGTACAAGTAAATTGTATCCAGACACAGAATTACTGCATTAGAAAATCAGTAGTAAAACTAAATATTTAGTCAGACATTCTAAATTTTTTCTACTTGTTTTAGTAGTAAAGGTCGGTTATAGTCAGACATATTATTTAAATTATGAAAACAGTAGTAAAAGTAAATATGTAATTAGACTTTGTACAAATTTGTGATTTTTTCAGTTGTACAAGTTAGGTTTTGTCAGACGTAATGAATAAATTAGAAAATCAGTAGTAAAACTAAATATTTGGTCAGACTTTTAAAAATTTTCTACTTGTTTTAGTAGTAAAAGTCGGGTTTAGTCAGACACATTATCTAAAGTATGGAATCAGTAGTAAAAGTAAATATTTAATCAGACTTTATACAAATTTTGTAATTTTCTCAGTAGTACAAGTAAATTTTAGTCAGACATCTAGAGACTAAATTAGAAAATTTTTATTATATTCAAGTAAATATTTATTTGTTAATAGTCAAATAACCGATTATTGGAATAAATTAAATTTTTTCAAAAATTATTTTTAAGACGAATTATTATTTTTCAAATTGATATATATATATATATTTCCTTATATAAATGAATAATTGGAAAAATAAAAATTCTCTAATTTTTCACACAATGCGCTCAATTTTTTAAATAATATTTAATATTTCAACTATTTTTTATGTTACTTCATTTTACTATTATTGAATTAATTTTTTGTCTTTTATTGGATTGTCAATATTTACAATTTCCTCAATTACAAAAAAAAAAAAAAAAAAAAAAAAAAAATAGTAGAGTGTCAATGAATTATTCCCCGCGTTTGGTTCCCATAGTTTCCGGTTATGACGTGGATAAAAAAAAAAAAGGAAAAAAAAAAAAATAAAAAGTTCTCTTTCTCTTTTCGATCCATTCAGAGGAAACTCCCATAAATATATCTCTCTGTACGTTCACACGAGAAATGTAAAAACTGTCCGCATCTCCCCTGACTCTCTAAATTTTTCGACAGGAATCCGTTATTAATCCATATATCGCGAGCGTTCGGTTCCGATTGTACCCCTTTTATATACCGCCGCCGCTGTCATTATCTGGTTCGCGCGAGAACCGAATTTAATAGAGATTTATAACAGAGAGCATCCCAGTGAAACTGGACGACGTCCAATCGCCGTTCACTATTGCTTCTGGACTTGAGATATAATACCTCATACATATATACATATATATATATATATATATATATGTGTGTGTGTGTGTATGTATTTCGTACAACGGTTTTTAGGCTTTAACTACGATTTCCACAATGACGCTTGCGCCTACTGTGAGGTATTTTGTGGCGCTTGCGCTACGTTTTTGTTTTATCTATAAGGGTAGCTACCCTCGTTGAAGATGGTTAGTTCGCACCCGTCGCGGGTCCCGGGAGTAGTTGTCGAACAAGTACTCTCTAGGAAATAAAAACAAAATTCCTTCACTTTTCTATCCCTCGTCACTCTCTGTGTATATATATATATATATATATAAAGTATTTTCATAATTTTGAGGAAATTTTTTTTTTCATATTTGTGGAATCCATTATTTTGATTAAATATTTATTTTTTTTTTTTTTTGGGTAAAAAAAAAATATTATAACGAAATAGTTTAACGAACCGCAGTGCAGATGTTCACAAACCAAAAGCCGGATATTTGGAGAAAAAGGTCAGAGAGGGTTCGAAATTCGAAATTATATATCAAAAAAAAAAAAAAAGCACTATCATCGCCTGTTGGAATTTTTGGATAGGTTTCGGAAATTTAGGTATTTTTTTTCCCCCAAAAAAAGTTGAATTATTTTATTGTGGTAGGTAGATTTGTTTTGTTATGAGAAAGGTCACTTATGTGATGTGAAATCAATCGTTATGTGATTAGTGATGACATGATGGGAGATCAATAACCGTGATGATAGGGAGGCATTTGATCGAATTTCGAATGACCCATGTGCAAACACATGGGGTTTGGAGATTTTTCCGCACACTTGTGATTTTAAAGATTTCTTTAATGTTGAATGACAGTTAATTTTTCTTCTAGTTAGATTTTCATCGGAATTCTTTAGTTATTAGATGGGAAAACAAATATATTAACAAACATTTACTAAAACTGGAATCAAGAAATTTTGTTTGATCGCAACAACAAATCTGTATTGTTCAAATCTGAAATTAAATTTCTTTTTATTTAATCTCTAAATCTGAATTAGTTGTTTTTCTACTAATGAAACGGTTGCGGATCTGAATTAGTAAAAATGTTTACTAATTTGAATTAGTGACTCACTTTTTGCTTCTCAATTAGTAAAATTTTACTAATTATTAGTAACTTTTACTAACAATTAGTAAAATTTAACTAATTCTAAAGCAAAAAGTGAGTCACTAATTCAAATTAGTAAACTTTTTTACTAATTTAAATTTAGAGAGTAATAGAAAATTACACTGAAAAAAAAATTTATTTGATTCAAATACTCGAGAATTATCAAATAAATATTTACTTGAACCAAATAATTTTTATTTGAATTAAATAAATTGTATTTGAACCAATAATTTTTTTATTTGAAACAAATACCATTTAATTGATTTAAATAACAATTATTTGATACAAATAAATATTTATTTGATAATAGTCAAGTAATCGATTATTTGAATCAAATAAATTTTTTTTTTTCAGTGTACACTCAGAAAAAAATTCGTTTGAAGCAACCAAATTTTGGTTAAATCAACAAAATAAATGCATTGAGTTAACCAAACATTTGGTTGCATAAACCAAACGTTTATTTAGCTTAATTTTTTTCTTTGTTCAAAAAAATTTATTAAAATAAACCAAACATTTATTTAGATCAAATAAATATTTATTTGAATTAAACAAATTTTGTTTTGAACTAACCAAAAAAATTGGGTAAATATAAAAAAAAAATGGTACATTTGGTTTAAACATATCTTTTTTCTGAGTGTACTAATTCATGGAGTAAATCGGCTTACTAATCTAAAATAATAAAAAATACGATTTACTCCATGAATTAGTAGTTTTCTACTAGCAATTAGTAGTTTTCTACTAAAAAAGATTCAAAACTGTTACTAATACAATTGATAAACGAATCCGCACTCTTTAATTAGTAGAAAAACTACTAATTCAGATTTAGAAAGTATATTTTGTTTTAAAAATACATTATTGTAAGAAACGATAAAATTTTGTTATAACAGTAAAATTTTGTACATATTAAAAATATTTATTTAAGTAATATATTTGTGTAACAATACAAATTTGTGGCAAGCAAATAAAATTTAGTTTATTTAGTTAAGTACAATTTATTTTTACATCTAAATCAGTGATATTTTCACTGACTTCAAATTTAGAGTTTAACATTAATTATTGATAAATATGTACCAATAAAAATTAGTGTCAAAAAAATAGTAATAATGGGCTATAAAATTTTTTTTGATATAAAAAAATAAATATAAAAATTATATAATTGATTTTTGAGTAAAAATTTGTATTGTTTCGTTTAGTAGATATATAAATAGATATTATATTGATCATTGTTTTGGTAATACTCTACTGTAAGATAATATCCTCGAACCCATTTCCATAATGAAAATATAGAATGCGGTATATTGTAATCATAAGATATTCATGGCAGAAGGGTAATATTAGATAAAACAAGAATATTGCCCTCTTCTCTTCTATATTTATATATATATATATATAGATTCTGTTTCCCATTTTCGTTTCGATAGTAAATCTTCGCCCAATGGATTGCAAGTTATTAAAGAGAATCGAAATTGGAACAGCAGATAGAGCGTGAAATTTCACACTCGAAAAAATCTTGGAATGCTCCATATCGATGTATGTGTGTGTGTGTGTGTGTGTGAGAGAGAGAGATAACTTTCAACAAAACGCGACTCTGGATTCCAGTTAATTAGCTTCTTGTCTGCATATCTCTGATTAATTTTCGAGGAATGAAGACTCGAAAATTCAACATTGGCTTCTATTCAATTTGATCAATCGTCCCGTTTGATATTGAACTCGGAATTCTGCTGGTAGATTCCTCTTTCTCTTGTTCATTTTAAATTCCTGTTTTTTTTTTTTTTTTTTTAAAAAAAACCTTTGTTGATTTTTTTACTTTAGGTGGTTGGAATTTTTTTTTATAAATATATTTTTGATATTTCATATTTAAATTCTGTTTGGTATTTGTTATTTTTTAATTGCATTTTATTTGAGAGATTTTTTTTTCTTTTTATGACGTTTCACAAGAGAAGGGATCTTAATGGCAAAAAATTTTAGGTTATGTTTACTGATAGTTTTAGCTTCGTTCATTTTTAATTATGTATAAAATCAAAATTAATTTCTATTGAATATTTTGGATCTAATGAAGATATAAACATTAGTAATTTGTAATTTTTTTTATTGTCAAGTACAAAAATTACAAACATAATCTAAAATATTTTGTTATTAAGGTCCCTTTTCTTGTCATTTATATTTTAGAATATATATTTTTAAATTTAGATATTCATATATTTTAGAATATATTCTGTAGAATAAATTCTTATTTCAGAATATATTCTTAAATTAAGAATAAATTTATCATTTAAAATATATATATATTCTTACGTTAAGAGTATTATATAGTGGATTTTAGAATAAATTTTATTGTAATATATAACAGATATCAAAATTATATTTTTTTCGGAATTTTATATTTTTCTCTAGATGAAATTGTCAGTGAAGAAGTATTTAATTTTAAGATTTAAATCCCCAAAGGGCAAATTGGTATTGTGGTTGTCAAGTTGCCAATAGAAATTCTGACGCGGTGAACCACTTCTCGTACCAACCCACCACTTTGATCTGACTCAGTGGGATTTTCCCTCTTGCTTAACTTGACCTTCCTATTCATTCATGCAGAATTATTCAGGGTGCATATCCATAACAGCTGTTTATTCCACCTTTCTTAATATTTTTCTCAAGGAAAAAAAAAAAAATTTTACACAAAAAATTGTTATTCTCTTTTTTTTTTTTTTTCTTTTACTTATTCATAAACTAAAAATTGTTAAATATGCAAAATTAAATATTAGGTTAATTTAAAAAAAAATAAAATAAAGAGAATTTTGTAGAAAGAAAAAAAGAAATATTTTTATTTTAAGAGGAAAAAATAGAGGAATTTTATGCGATTATTTTTTTACTAATTAAAAAAAAGAAAATAGAACAATTTGTTTTTTAGTAAAATATTTCAAATTTTTGTGAAAAATCAATGATTTATTATTTTTATACAACGAATTTATTAAAATGAAAAAAAAACTGATTTACCAACGAATTGGAACTGAATATGTATATTTAATTGAAAAAGTTTTCAGTATTCAGTCTATTAAAATTACAATGTAACTTTTAATAACTTTTCGTTAAAATAACAATCTGCTGATGAAATTTGAATTAAAATGTTTCAGTGAACTGTGCTATTAAACTTTTGACCTTTCTAAAAATAAAAAATTTAATTACATTTTAATTTGATTATTTACTTTTATGTTTTTCCAATGTATATATTTATATATATATATTTGCATTTTATGATTTAATAAATTTTTTTCACAAAAATTACTTTTTTCGCAGTAATAATATTTGTTCTATTAAACTATTTAATGGAAAAATAAGTTATTAAAAATATACATACAAAAATTTTAAACATACTTTTTTTTTAAAATATAAAAATATTTAATTAGTTTTAGTAAATATTGAATGCATTTTAAAAAAAAAAAATTAAACAATTATTATATTCTCGTATATAGATAATAAATTTTGTTAATTTTGAAACTTCAATTAACTATATATCTAAATTATTTTCTATAATTAATGAGTATTTTACGTATTCATTAATCAAAGTCTATATATAATACTGAAATTGATTATTAATTGTTTGAGATTTAATCTAGATAGAGATTTGATAGAGATGTTGTATAAAATAATATTTGCAAATTTTTCCTCTAATTCTTTCTTTTTACTTATTTTAAACAAATTTTTTTCATGGAAAAAAAAATTTTAAATTAAAATTTTATTTTAGAGATGATAAAAATATTTTCAGGTATTTAAAGAATTTTACTAAAAAAAAAAAAAATTTGCGGTAGTTTAAATTAAAAGTGAATTAGTTATTAAATTACGTATGTAATATGTAATTTAACTTATTTTACCGTAGTAAATGAAAGTAACGTGCATGGAATTTAATTCATGTGTTGTAATTAAAATTCATGACTTAATTTTTAAAATACTGAAACGTTGTGAAAAAAAAGAAAAAAAAATGAAAATAAGAGAAAATAATAGTAAACTGTTCTTTTTATATTATTTTTTTTGTTCGGCAATTTTGTTTTTGAATTTAGCTTAATAATTAATTAAATCTTTATTTAATATTGGTTTTTTCCTTTTTTTAATCACGAAAAAAGTAATGTGGATTCTTCCTCTTTTTTTTTTTTTTTTTTTTTGATGAAATTTTTCTCTTTATGTACATTATTAAAAATTCCTCTATTTTTCTATTTGAAAGATTTTCTTAAATTTTTAATTCAAATTTTAATTTTTCTTTTCTCCTTAAAAGATTCTCTTCAATTCTGATTTTTTTTTTTTGTTAAATAATGATTTTTTTTAGAGATATAAAAAATAAAAATTTTATTTTATTAACTTTTGAATGAATGGACAAAGAATTTTTAAATTTAGTGTGAAATATTCTTAAAATTAGTATATTACTTGCATATAAAATATTCTAAAATAGATTCCAATTACATTGAAAAAAAAATATATTCTTGTTTGCAAAGAGGATTCCTCTTGTTTTAATGCATATTTTCCTTACACAAATTCTCTTATTTTAAGAGGATTATTCTCTATTCAAGAATATTCCTCTTAGAATAAGAGAAAAATACTCTTTCAATTGAGAGTAATATTTTCGATACAAGAGAATTTTTCGCAAAGAGAGGAATTTTCCTCTATTTTTGAGAATATTTTTTTTTCCCCATTTGGAAAGATTCCATCAGAATTCCGTCGGAACTTTCAACGGAATTTTGTTGGAATTTCATTGGAGTTCCAAAGAATTTCCTATGGGATTCCGATGGAATTCCGATTAATTCTTTTTTAATTTTTAGAATCCTACATTAAGAAAATTATTATTATTATTATTATTATTATTATTATTATTATTATTATTATTATAAAACAGAATTTTTATCATAGAAACTTTACTAAAAAATTTTATTTTTTTATGAAATATTATCTTAGTTTTTTTATTTAAATATTTAAATTATTTTTTTTTGCACTCAATTTGTTATTGTTATTATTATCAAAATTATTAATAATTTAGAGAAATTAAAAAAAAAATTTCTAGATGTTTGTTCAAATGAATGCTGGACAATGGAAAGCCAATTGATTTCTAGCTCTGCTGATAAATATTTCATAAAAAATAAAATTTTTTTTTTAGTAAGGTTTCTATGATAAAAATTCTATTTTATAATAATATAATAATTTCCTTAATGTAAGATTCTAAAAATTAAAAAAGAATTAATTGGAATTCCATCGGAATCTCAGCGGAATTCTATCGTAATTTCATTGGAAATTCTTTGGAACTCCAATGAAATTCCAATGGAATTTCGATGGAATCTCCAGGGGGCACTTTCCAGGGAATCTTATCGGTAAAAGATTTTTTTTTTTCAAACTTTATTAAAACTATAAAATTATATTATATTGAAAGCAAAAAAATTTTTTTTTTATTTCGAAAAAATAGATGTTTTTTTTTGGAAAGAAGGGATTCTATTGTTTCAAGCAGTAATTGATATAATTTTAGATCTTTCTAATTAAAACTCTTAGACGTTTCTAAAAAGGTTTTAAGAAAAGGTTTTTATGTGCCATAAATGTCTTCTCATAGTTGGGTTATGAAATCCTTTCAAGAAGAGAATGAAGACAGATGCGCCTTGCGGATCGAATCTCGTTAAAAGCAACGTCCTGTTGCGTGGAATTTTCTCTCTCTCTCTCTCTCTCTCTCTCTCTCTATATATATATATATATGTATAAAAGAGGAAATAATATTGTCAGATTTGAAGTGGATTCTATATAGGAAATTTTGCAATATTCGAGTTACTATATATATATATATGCATATTGTAATAAAAGTTAGAGTTGAACTTAAATGTGTGCATTGTATTGGGGAGGGACTAAAACGTATGACACTTTCATTTACCATTTACCACAATTGCGGGCATTGTGTGTTCACTGTTTCTGATGACCCAGAAATTACTTTTGTCATGATTGAAATTGGCTCGAGTTTCTCCCTTCCATATATATATATATATATATATACTCGCGCGCAGATTATTATCAGTGTGGCAGTATTCGAGATTATCGAAATTGTTCTAATTACCATCAGATTAATCGATACTGATAAGCCGAGTAATGACATTCCAATTTTCCTCGATTACGCGATATTTCGGCAAATATCTCATGTCACATTAATTTTCGATATTATAGTCTTCGTTTTTCATATATATATATATATATAAAAATATATATCGATGGAATTCCTCCATCTAAGACGACGAGGTATATATTGTGAATTAATTATCAAGGAAAATATAGATATACATATAAAGGAGAGCAGGTTCTTCCATTAAAACTCTTTTTACGTGACTTGAATTCAAATGGACGATTATAGATGATTCCTTCATATTCTCGTTTTCATTCCTTACCAGACATTCCCAGGCGTTGACGAGTGCCACACCATATTAGAATAGGATCACGATTGGGTTGGTTTTTTTTTACAGAGATTCGACACATTTATAAAGGAGAAAAAAGAAAAAGAGAAAGAATCTTTTTATACGAATCGAAATAGAAAGTGAGAGAGAAAGTCTATTGAGAATTTGACTTTGAAGCTTTATTCCAATGCCTCCGTCCTGAAGAGATAGTGTGTGCTTCATTTGTGAAAGAATTGCCCTTCACGATTCAAGTAGAGAAGAGGCAAACGTGAAAAGGACACAAGAATGGGGATTCCTGACGTTGATCAGGCCAAAAGGCGATTGCAAGACATTCTAAGAAAGGCACAAAAGTTGGAGATTCCAACGCAGGAAGTTATTTCAACTAAGACGGCAAGGAAGCTTCTTACGAGGTCAAAGAATGTAATGGCATGGACAATTTGGATAGGAATCTTTGTACTTGCATTGTCAGCGGTCGTTTATGCACGTTGGCCAACACAGGAAGTTGAGACTGTCAGAACTGTCCTCAGGAGAACGGTGAGTTTTGAAAAATAAGAGAGAGAAAAAAATTGGAATTTAAATACTGTCACGCAGTACTGGTATTGTCACAGTTATGAAGAGTAGAATTGACGTACTGTAAATTTATTTTTCATTTAGTATTGGCTCAGTACTGATTTAGTAGTGCCAAATAATAGTAGTTCAGCATTAGTTCAAATCTGATTAATCAGTACAGATGACTATTATTGGTTATTGGTTTTAATTGTGTGTTTAAAATCGATTTGCCAGTACTGGTAACCACTATTGGTTGTGGTTACTACTTCAGAACTTATTGGCAAGTAATGATAACGACCAATTGTTCAGTAGAGGTTGATTACTAATTGGGTAACTAATTCCGAACTAATTTGCCAGTATTGGTTCTGGTTACTAGTTCAGAACTGATTGCTCAGTACTGGTAACCATTATTGGTTCAGTAATGGTTCTAGTTACTATTGCAGAACTAATTGGTCAGTACTAGTAACCACTATTGGTTCAGTAGTGGTTTTAGTTACTAGATTAGAACTAATTTGGTTCTGGTTACTAGTTCAGAACTGATTGTCCAGTACTGGTAACCATTATTGGTTCAGTAATGGTTCTAGTTACTACTTTAGAACTAATTTGCCAGTACCAGTAACCGCTATTGGTTCTTTATTTGTTATGGATAATACTTCAGAACTAATTTGCCAGTACTAGTTACCATTATTGGTTCTATATTGGTTCTGGGTACTAGTTCAGAACTGATTGTCCAGTACTGGTAACCATTATTGGTTCAGTAATGGTTCTAGTTACTACTTTAGAACTAATTGGTCAGTACCAGTAACCACTATTGGTTCTGTATTTGTTATGGTTAATACTTCAGAACTAGTTTGCCAGTACTGTGAAGAACTGTTGGTTCTATATTGGTTCTGATTATTAGTTAAGAACTGATTGACCAGTACTGTCAACCACAATTGGTTCAGTAGTGGTTTTATTTACTAGATTAGAACTAATTTGGTTCTGGTTTCAAGTTTAGAACTAATTATCATGTACTGATAACCACTATTGGTTGTGGTTACTAATTCAGAACTGATTGGCAAGTACTGATAACCACCATTGGTTCAGTAGTGGTTCTGGTTACTACTTCAGAACTAATTTGATAGTATTGGTTCTAGTTACTAGTACAAAACTGATTGTTCAGTATTGGTAACCATTATTGGTTCAGTAATGGTTCTAGTTACTATTGCAGAACTAATTGGTCAGTACTAGTAACCATTATTGGTTCAGTAGTGGTTTTAGTTCAGAACTGATTGGCCAGTACTGACAACCACTATTGGTTCAGTAGTGGTTTTAGTTACTAAATTAGAACTAATTTGGTTTTGGTTACTAGTTTAGAACTAATTGTTCAGTACTGGTAACCACTATTGGTTCAGTAGGAGTTCTGGTTACTAGTACAGAACTGATTAGCCAGTACTGGTAACCATTATTGGTTCTGTATTGGTTCTGGTTGCAGAACTAACTTGCCAGTATTTTTTTTAACAGAATTAGTTTAGTAGTTACAATCAGTATTGATTTACTACTGATTCAGAATCTATTTTCCAGTACTGATAATTTGGTTCTGTATTGGTTCCGGTAATTTTATCCGTAATAAAATTCAGAACTAATTCTGTATTTAAATACTTGCTTGTTACTAACAATTGCAGTACTAGTTCAGTAAATATTATTTTTTTTTAATAGTATTTTATTAATTAACAACTAAAATCAATTTAAGCGTTTTTTCTAAACTTCTTTTAATTATTCATTTTTATCATTAAAAATAGTAAACCATTTATGACAAATGAACAAATTTTTTTTGCAAAAATTGTCATCTATTTTTATTTTTTTTTTTTTTTCGTCTATTGATGAAATTGAATTTTAACTGGAATTATTCAAACCCATCACGCCCTTGGGGCATATATGACACATTTACGAAAATTGATTTTATGTCGCATATATGATGGTTTTTTTCGTTTTTTCTCTTTATAAAATAAAAAAAAAAGTCGATTCTTTTTGAAATATGCTTTTTAAATTGGATTTACTTTTTTTTTTTTGACTGAACAAAATTTGTTTAGCAATAAAATTCGTCAATAAAAAAGAAACTTAATCCCTAAAAACTTAATTTTTGAAATAAACGATGAGAAAAACCACTACAAAAAAAAAAAAAAAAACTTTGGGATTCTATTATCGTGTACTGAATTGGATATTATATAGTAAAATATTAATTTATATTTATCGTTCATTTTTTTTTTTTTCATCCTCCCGAATTGAGGATCCTCGTTGAGCATTTATATCCCTATTGTATATTTAGAACGTGTTGCATTTGGATATTTTGAATGCAAACTAACAATACGAGGAAAAACCAATTCAACGAAACTGCTGCAACAATGAATTCCAACACGTGAAACAATGAGCTCATTGTTTTGTAAAGCGATACTCGCAATTCGCTTCAATAAATTGTTCTCAAAAACCATTATCGCATTCAATTCCCAAAAAAAAAAAAGAAAAACTCTTTTCGAAATATTTTCCTTTTTATTAACAATTTAAGAAATTTTCATTTGTTGATAAAAGGCAATTTTTGTTGTTGTTTTAAGGTTTTTAAATTTTTTGCACAAATATTTGCAGAAAAAAAAATATTGAAGAAATTCATTTCTTATAAACTTTTAATTTTAATTAAAATTAAAAATTAATTAATTAAAAAAAAATTTAATAAATTAAAAAAAATTTTAATTAATTAATTTTTAATTATTTATAATAAATTGTTGTGTTTAAATAATCAAACTTGGAAAAATTCCCCGGAAAGTGCCCCCTGGAGGTTCTATCAGAATTCCGCCGGAACTTCTAACGTAATTCCATTGGAATTCCATTGGAGTTCCAAAGAATTTCCAATGTGATTCCGACGGAGTTCCGATGGAATTCTGATTAATTTTTTGAAAATTTTTAGAGTCCTAATTCCGTCGGAATCACAGGGGAATTTCTTTGGAACTCCGATGGAATTCCGACGGAATTACGTTGGAAGTTCCGGCGGAATTTTGATAGAACCTCCAGGGGGCATTTTCCGGGGAATCTTTCCAAGTGGGATATTAGATTCCAGTTGGTGAATACTTATTGTAAAAAAGTAGAAGGCATTTTTTTTTTTTTTTTTTTCAAATTGATCATCAAACTAAAGTGACTGACAATAAGAGAAAACAAATCAATAATAGTAAAGTAATATTTTTACGGATCTTAAAATAAGTTTATACGAGGAATAAAATTTTTCTTCCCTCCTTACGATCGCTGCAATGAGCAGAAAAGAAGCATCTGATATAGTAAAAAGCTCCTGTGCTTCTTTTTTTTCAATCCTTCCTTAAAAGTTTCATTCCTTGAATTCACCTCTCAAATTAACCAGCAACTAGTTTAAATGTACGAGATAAGTGAAGTAAAGGAAGCAAAGAAAAAAAAAGAAAATCAAAGGATGAAAAAGCTAACGAGACACGTAAACGGGGGAGAAAATTTTCTTAGCCGACAAATCATTTTGCTTCGTCACGCAGAAAAGTTGAGCATAAATTTCATGGGACACGCGAGATCTTTCGAACTCATTTCCTTTTTTTTTTTTTTTGCAAGAATTGTATAACTGTGAGAGAAAAATGAATCTGTTTAGATTAATTGAAGTGTCAACTTGTGTGAATTTTTTTTTTTTTTTTTCCTCTTTTTATTCTAAGAATTTATTTTGTTGTATTTTTGGGCAGTATATATATTTCGCTCAAACATCCATCACGGTATTCTTAGCAGGACAATGGAAAAGCATTACCGGAATAACCAGCTTCCATTCTTGTTTATCCTTTTATTTAGCTTCCTGGAAATGTAAAAAGCTTCTTCCTTGAGCTTAGTTTTACAAACATATTTTATTCATAATTGTTTTGCTGTTTTGTTTTTATAAAGAAAAAAAAAATTTTTTTTTTAAATTATTTTCTTAAACAATATTTTAAGGAATTTTCTATTTTTTTTTTTTTTAATTATTAAACTTTTCTTTAATTTCTATTTTCTTGTATAATATGATCCTGTCGAATAATTATTATGCAATATAACCGCAAGGAAGCTTTCATTCTTGAATGGAATGCTTTGTGCTGTCAGTGTTATGCCAAATTTTCTTGTGGTCGCTTGAGAGAAACTCTTCTAAATTTCAAAACCCTTTAGTTCTCTCTACTGAAACTAAATTCCTATATTATAGAGTATAAACTCTTTTGTGGAAAATTAGATTTTTTTTAAATATTTTAATTGACTATAATATTTGAATAATTGCTTCGAAAATTATTTCTCTTTAATATCTCTAATTTAATATTAGATGAAATTTAATATTGTTTGTTGTATTCCTAAAAAGAGGATATATTTATATTTGAAACTAATCTACAATTTGATAAACGATAATTGCATTATAGTGATAATAGTTTTGTTCATTGAATTATATAATTTCGCAAAGGTAATCGGGAATTATTTTTTAAAAATAATATTTCACTTTGAAAATAATTATAGAAAGTGATATCAATTTCGTGTTTATAGGTAATTAAATATTTTGAAATCAAAATGAAATTATTAATAGTTATTATATTAGATAAATAATTAAATTAAATTAGAATTTAAAATAAAAATAATTTTATCAAATTCAGTTATTTTTAGCTATCAATTTATATATATATATATATATATATATATATATATATATATATATAATAAGGATTTGGTTAATTTTGATTAGAATTTCAGAAGTGTAATATTCTTGTTTTACATAATCTATTTTCAACATATAGAAATTATACAAAGGTATTCAATTCCGTGGGAAATATAATATTAATGAAGGTATCTCGCAACCATTATACTCGTCACTGACTGTCATAAATTTAAATGCAAATTATAAATTTAAACATTATAGAAATTTATTTATAATCTTATAAATTTACGTGCACAATAATTTAAAATTTTGTTAAATATAATATTTTAAGAATTGTATT